TAAAAAAAACACACTATAAAACAGTGATTAAAGCTTTTTTAGGCAAGCTAAGGCTGTCCAAGCAGCAGAGCACCATATCAAACCCTAAGGATCAAAGAACAGGCACTCAAATTCATTATTTGGTTTGTTTTCACATTCAGTTTAAATTGCCAGAAAATGATCTATGATGTGGTAGAATTTGTAAACTATCTTAAAATGCTAGATAATGTACAATTTGTAAGGGGAGGCCTGTTAAATATACAGCCTGCAATCTATATGCTTTCTTAATCTGGCAGACTATAAAGAATTATTGGATAAACAAAGATTCTGAGCTTTAAACCTGATTATCAGAGTTGTCTTTGTCCTTTTGGCTTCTAAAACATCTGTTTGTAGATGTATTTAGAAGCAAATGAGACTTTATTTGCAGACACATTCTACATAGGAAGTGTTAAATTTTAGAGGAACGCAGCTCTAATTTAGGTATTTTACTCCACGTTTCTAGAGTACTGTCCAGGACTCCTTCTCATCAATGTTTATAATGAAAAGTTAAAGAATTTGCATCATGTGGGTAAGTTTTTTACTAAAATGGGTAGGCGTCAGCTTTGACACAGTCATAGAGCTCCTGATCCCAGTTCTTCCCCGTCTCGATTTAGTCGTCAAAGGGTGGCCTGGGATCATCGCCGGGACAGAGATGATGAACTCCATTTAACCGTTACATGAAAGAAACCGAGATGAGGCTAAAACTCATCCTGCTGCTTCTTTGAAGCTGTCATTGAGAGGCTTCACTGGAGAAAAAAAACTCCTCTTTTCCCTCTACAGGCAGGAATTACATTGTTGCTTGACGGCTGTGTACGTGCGTGTGTGTTTATGTGTGGGTTTCTGGGGGGGGATTATAACCCACAGCTGGCCTGCCTGATTACTGACTGCCTGGTCAGCCTGTATTAGACTCACATACGAGACCGAAGGCAAAGGTAAATGCACACATTTCACTTTATTTTAATCTTAAATGCTCTCTTCACCATAAGTCTTTGTTGGAATCTTACCAGTATGTCATGTGCAGCGGAGTGTTTCTGTTCCTGTATTTACCTCTGCGGCTGTGTGTCCGTGTGTGTATGTGAGTAATTCCCTGCTCAGTACAGCAGATATATTTAATCCTTCCTCTGCTGAGGCTGATGTCAGCATCAGCTGGCTCTGTGACAGTCTGTGTATGTCCGTGTTTATTTCTACAGGTAACAGTATGAGTGTAGCTAATTCATCACAGTGTCAGATTAACCAGAATCTGCAGAACGCTGAATCCTAATGACCACCTGAAATACAAACGAGATACAACACAAAATAACTAAAGATGTGAGCTAAGCAGAATGTTTCCTGACTAAACACTTTTTTTTGTTTTATGATTCTATAGAATTTTGATTTAATTAGGTTATAAGCATGGTGTTATCGGCCTTCTAAAATTGTCATTTAGCATTTTAATCAGTGTTAGGTTTTACATAATTTATATTTCAATTGTGATTCGATTGCTTTAAACCTAAAGATTTAGTTTTTGATCTTTTTAAAAAAAAGTTTTAATTACTTTATTCTTATGTGTTTCCTTAAAGACATGAAAATTCATTGATCAGAGAATTCAAGAGAGTTTTTGAATACCAGTTTCCAAAAGTTTTAATCTGCTGATTACACATTTGGATACCTTTTATTCTTCTTTGTTTATAGATTAACTCCTTTCAACAATGAAAGATTGAAAAGTTATTTCCGAAGACTAGACAAAACATAAATGGCTGTCAGTCTCAATTATTTTGTTTTCTGCATTTTTTAATGTGTATATATTCTTTTTATATTTATTTCTTTATGTTTTTTATTTTTTTTTATGACTTTTTTTATGATTTGTATTATTTAACTGCAGTGTCTGAATTTAACGCTACAGTAAAATATATTAGAAAGCTAATAATTACATTTCTCTTATTCTATTGTAATTTTTTTTGACATTTCATAAAGAAGCAATACAACATTTCACAACAAATATGCATATTCACAAGATCACTTCAAAGTAGAACAGATTTACTTAACTATTATAGAGAATAAAAAATGACAAATATATGGGAGCATTTAGTTATATTTGATAAATCACTAATTATTTATATAAAGGCAATATGGTACATTTTAAATTCCTAAAAGGGATCTGTCAATGTTACACTGATCTGCAGTTAAACGGAAAAGACCTGAGTTTTTAAGATTAGCATTTTTATTTGCATATATTTATATTTAGCATCAATACTTGCCGAATTAAGGCTGCATGGTGGTGTTACTCCCACAGTCCATAATCATGACTGTTAGGTTAATTGGCTTCTCTAAATTGTCCTTAGGTGTGAGTGTGTGTCTGCATGGTTCTGTGTCTTTGTGTGTCTCTGTGTTGCCCTGCGATAGAATGGTGACCTGTCCAGTGTGCTCCCCGACTCTCGCCCATAGATTGCCGTAGATAGGCATTGGCTCCACCGTGAACCTGACAAGGACTATCAGAAAATAAATGGATGGATGGATGGAGGACTTGCATAGTTGGCATTAATAACTGTTATTTTTTCTGTAAAGTCTCCAATTAAAAACATTTCAAAAACCATCATGTTCAATAACACGCAGAGGAAAATAAAACAAAACATCTTTCCTGTAATATGTTCACCCTCTCTGATTTCAAACTGCATTTTGGGACACCTGTAAGACAGAGAGATGGGGGTTTGAGATTTGGACAGGCATTTGCTGATTTCTTGGCTTTCTCTTATTGGAAATTGGCCACTGTGTTGTAATTTTTGGCATGCTTTAAACTATTTGCTGTTTGCATTTGTCAACAGAGAGGTTCAGTTAATTTTTTATTTATTTTTTTTTAAAATTTTTTTTTTTATGCATGTAGAATTGAGTGTGCCGTTAAATATTCCTAATAGGTAAAAGTGAAAAATCATCCTGATGACTGCTGTGGGGCATTTTTTTTTTTCTTTGGAACATGAGCGCGGAGTTGCATTTCTAATGTGGTAGATATTGGACAAAAAAAAAAAAAAAGGTTATGCTCTAGGAGCCTCTTCCACATACTGTGCTTCTCCCTAAAAGGAAAGTAGCAAGGGGAAGCAATGTTTAAGGCTTCCTATCTTAAAATGTCCTAGTATGCAATCAAGTGTGATGTGTTCACTGACTGAAAAAATATTTCATTTTTGATTTCAGTCATCCAGTTACAGATCAAACATTAAATCCTCGGACTCTGGTCAGCACCCAGAGTCTTTAAGTTGCATTGCTATCTGCATGAAATATGAGCAAAAAAACCATGTGTGTAGTTTACAGTGCACTATTTTTCACCTATTATCCAAAGGAGGAGAGGAAGGAGCTACTAAGGGAATAAAAACTGAGGGACATTCATGGACAAGCCTCCCGTTCAAGTCCTTGAGAGTCTCTTTCCAACAGCTTTTAGATGCCTCCCTGATCTAAGACATCTGGATCAGATGCTGAATAGTCTGAATGTTTGCTGGGTGTTATATAAAGGAAAAAGAATTGTATTTCTCCTTAGATATACAGTATTCTGCTGTTTCAACAAAGGCTGAAACTGCACTGTACTGCACTTGACTATCATACAAATTAATTCTAGGTGTCACTTGCATCAACATTATTTGATCAATTATCACATAATTAAAGTATCTGAAACAAACAGCTAACAGTTATTCTACCAATTGACAAACTTGACAAACGGTAAGCTCAAATTTCTTGCAAATTCAGAAAAAAAACTGTTTCCAGAACTTCTTTACAGCATAAAGGCCTCTATTAGCCATGCTATCTGAGACACTGCACCTATCCTTAGGCTTGATCTTGATGATTTCCTGCAGCATTTTACTCTTTGGGTTCTTGAACTCCCACAGACCAATTAGCAAAGCAAATATTCAACCCAACTTATAACTTGCTCCAGAATTCATGCTGTTGACGATGACATCTATTTCAAACTTATTCATGTTCATTAAGGCAAAATGCAGCCTCAGCAGATCTGCTTGGATTCTGAGATAGCGTAATATGAACACTGAAATGTTAAGGGAGAAAATACCATCTGCTGAAAGCTATTATTATATTGCAGCGGAAAATTAGTGAAAATGGCACTGACTGACCAATACAAGCATGTTAAAGTAGAACTGTCTCTCTTTTACAGTGAGGTAATCTTGATAGTCTTGTTTGTAGTTTATCAAGTAGATTGTATATACTGTATTTAATTGTATGTTTACCTTAAAAAAAGAATCTCAGAAAACAGATCTTCATGATTATGGATCATTCTAGCAGATGAGTTTTTATAAGCATAGATTAAAACACAACCATTATGTTGAAGATGAGGAGACACTAAGCATTTCTTTTTGTTTGTTTTTATTGTCTTTTTTAATAATGTAGTTTCTACTGTGAGTTTGTTGTATGTACTGATTGTGATGATCCCCAATAGTTTCTACTGTCGTAGAAACTATTGGGGATCCTTAAATTAAAAAAAAGAAAACTTCAAGGACCAACAGAACCCAAACAATGTAAAAAAACAAACAAAAACAAAACACACATCCTATTTCTCCAAACTGTTTTTAAATGTTTTTCTGTAATATGATTCAAAATTTGAATTTTACCCTTTTAGTGAATGGGGGAGGCATATTTGTGCATCTTGTCTGTGGCCATGTGACTTGGCAAAGCTGATGGGACAACAGATGGACACAGTCACAGACTGACCTACACACAATTACCCACATAGGCATATATCCACATATGTCACCCTTCCTCTGTCCTCTTACTCATTACTTCATCACTCTCCCTTTGAGGATGTATTGCATCCAGTGTCATTCAGCCTTCATTCTTGTCCGTCTTTTTGCAGATTAGCTGTCCATTCTCTCCTAAAGAGTGGCCCAGTTTAGTGTTATGTAGTGTCTCCTTCATCCTGATGGTGCTCTCAAGATCTAAGCCCATTTCGAACTGAATACCAAAAACATTGTAATTTTATAACACATCTTTGTGATGTTTTTCCTTAGGGATGAAGACTCCACTCAGCCCGTCTCTGCTCCTGGAGAGTGGGCAGATCTTTGCCTTTGGTGGGATGGGCCAGGATCTAATGGATGCATCCACACCTTCAACTCTCAGTCATCCCATCCAGCAGACCTCATCCCCAGGTGATTGTTATTATCCAGGATTAGTAATATGTTACATTTTTCGGTGTCTCCCTAATCAAGAATCACCGCTGCTGTTTCCTCCAGGTCAGCATGGGGCGTTCTCCTTGTGTGAGGTGTGTAACCTGCAGCTGACCTCGACTGCTCAGGCCCAGCTGCACTACAACGGCAGGTCACACCTCCGGAGAGCGAGACAGCTCCAAGCTGGAGAGGCACAGCAGCAGGCAGCAGGTGCATTAATGCTGAAGACCGAATTAAGGAGTCTCAGTGTAATCTCCACTAGGGAATGTTATTTTCAGCTTTAGTATCAGTAGCATCTTTAGCTTCAGCAGAAGCCTGATTTTGTCAGCTTTTTGTGAGCTCTAGCAGATCGAATTGTCTTTGATTCCAGCAGGAGCTCACACCAGGTCAGTTCCTCAGGCCACAGGATTGAACACTAAGCCTGCAGGACTATCTCAGACGACTGGACTGAATCGGATCCTCAGTGCTTCCAACACAGCTGCAGGTAGGATAAAAGCTACTCTGCTGTAAAAATAATCCAGACTAGAGTTTCCATGTCTATCATTAAAATGCCAAAGAGAAAAGACTTTGTTTCAGCAAATTACCCGAAAAGACAGATATCAGATTCTAAAGGTTTTCTGCAAAATTGTAAAGTTTATAGTTCTGCAAGAGAAAATAGAGACCAAAGGAGCGTGAACTGTAGGGAAAGTTCAGGGGGGAAAATATTCTTTTGATAGAATAGACCAAAGTAGAGGTGTTTGGCCATAACACAGGGCACTATGTTTGGAAATTTAGACACAAGTTTTAGAGAGCTGATCAGTACGGGCGAGAGTTGCTTTTTGTTTTTTATTAATCTACAGCTAATTTCAGAAATATAAAGCATCTTTAGGACTTGCAAGGGTATAAAAAAAAAGCTTGTCCGAGATCATAAGGATTCACTTAAACCTTAAAACTAGAGTCATCGAGGTAGACAAGGTTGATAGTGTCAGATGTGACAAAATCCCTCTGTAACCAATGCTAGGTCCTTATTCACATGACACCATCTGTCAATCAATCCTGGAGGCTTTCTAGCAACTGACCAATCAACAGCGAGGCCTTTCCTGAGGTCCAACACCCCTCACCTACAGGAGCAGGAACCATTTTACCTAGGACGGATTATCAGGTTTTTCCGTTACTCACACATAGCGGACATGGGGATTTCATTTAAACACTGAGGAAAAAAACAGCTAAATGCTGTGAATGGGGAACATGTAATTCAGATACATTTAACCCAAAGCATTTAAAGGGTGTGCACAGTTAATTATTTTCAAAAACTGAAAACAAGTTTAAAAAAAAGTTAAAGAAGGTCTGCTTACCCTATGAGCAGCCGCATACAATAGTCATCATTAAAGCTATCCGTTGTTTGCTGGTACGAACACACAAGCAAATCCACTTATTGGGCAGTAAAAGTTTGTGTTTAGCTCAGAAAAATATGCTTTGCTTAATAAACTGCATCCAAAGCAGTGTGCTGGCATGGGCTAAAAATATTCATACACACTATGATATACGTGATAAAAACATACTTCAGATTAATACCATCTTGTTCATTTACTTGAATCGCTTACCCACTTTCAATTTGCAAAAACCGTCAGATACAACTTTTTCAATCCCAGCCCACATGATTTTGGGTCCCTTATTATTCTTCCTCTGTCTGCCGAGAGCCGGATAAACTTTCCTGTGTTTTTCAGAGCTCAGTTTGAAATGGCTTGCATTTCCAGTTGGATGGAGCAATCTAACAATTGGAATCACATCAGTTGGGCTGTTGTAAGGGCAGCATTCTCTGTCACATCACCGGTTATGCATCAAAATGGTCTGAAAAGAAGATAATTATGTAACGGTCCATACAAAATCCAAACAGGCAGGAAAATTATAAAGATCTGTAAACCCCAGTGAGTAAAGTTGAGTTGAGTTAAACACCATAATGAAAACAACTGCTACAGTGAGTGCTGCTAAAGGGGATCTGCAAGCTGCTGAAATTTTGTTTTTTTCTTAGTGTTTCTTTTAAAGGCATCCAGCTTTTGATGGTGAGCAAAGGCAAAATTAAGGATTATGGCTACTGGGTGAACATGACATTGGATTCTAGCTAACAGCTGCTGCCAACTTGGAAAAGTCAGAGGATGTACACACATGGACAAAAATGTTGGTGCCCCTTATTTATTGAAAGAAAAGCCCAAGGTAAATCTGGCAAAAATAACAATCTACTGTATAAAAATACTATGAAAATGAACAAATGGAAATCAGACATGACTTTTCGATAAAACAATGGATTTAATAAATAATTCATTTAACAGGCCTGGACAAAAATGATGGTACCCTTAACTTTAAAGTGAACATTTTTAGGTAATCCCTGCAATCAAACTATTCCTGTAATTGTTAATGAGACTTCTGCACCTTTCAACAAGTATTTTGTTCCCACTCATCATGAGCAAACTGCTCCAGTTGTCTCAGGGTTGAAGGGTACCTTTTCTAGATGGCATGTTTCATCTTCTACGAAAGGTGCTCCATAGGATTTAAGCCAGGGATCATGGAGGGTCACTTTAGACTAGTCCAATATTTTCCTCTTAGCCATTATTGGCTTTTTTAGCTGTATGTTTTTAGTCATTATCCTGTTGCAACACCAATGACCTGCAACTGAGACCAGACTTTCTGACACGGGACAGCATATTTCTCTCTGGAAGCACTTAATATTCTTGAGATTTCCATGTTCTCTGCAGATAGTGAAGATACCCCGTTCCACATGAAGCAAAGCAGCCCCAAAACCTAACAAAGCCTCCTACATGTTTCATAGTAGGGTCAGTGGTCTTTTCTTTATATGCTTCAATTATGTATATATATGCCCACTGACTATTTACAAGATTTTAGACGCTTGTGTGGCTTATGAGTAGAAACACCTTGATTTAACCAGTCACTTTAATTGGATTATTTTCAGTCTTTTCTAGAAGTATCAACATTTTTGTCCAGGCCATTCATATGGATATGTATGGGACCCCAAACCGGACAGGACACTCAAACATAAAATGGATTACTATTTTTAGCCATTGGCCTATAATTAATTAAGATACTATGGTACTACTAGTACTACTAGTAGTACTACTACTTGTTACTATGGTGAGGCAGGACAATTTCTATAAGAAAAACACAAATGTTACTGTTAATGTCATCTTGCCTTTTTTAAATGCATTTTGTTTGACCTTTTTTGTGTCACAGAAGCATAGTTCTTTATGGCCACTGAAGCATTTTTCAAATGCTGCAACTTCGATTTTCAGTTACACAAGATAGTAAACAATTCTGCCATGAATATGTGTCAAAAACCAAATGCATAACTCCAGAGTTCATAAAACCGAATGGCCGTTCATATTAAAAGATGCAGTTACCTTTATTGTCAACCTCTAGTACTTAGATGGATTATTACCATCTTACCTTTTTTTTGTATTTTTCATAGTATCTAACAACCCATCCAGGGTCGAAATTTTCATTTCAGAAGTGGGGGGGACACAAGTATTTTTTAATGTAACTACTGTATAAGGTCAGCTTGTTTTCTAGTGGATCTTCTGTGTTGCTTTCCTCCACTTTCTCTTGGATCTTTCCTATCCTGATCCTGACAAATTATATGAATGCATGACATGAACAATTGGACAATTTGGGGTGCAGCAATCCATGTAGATTAAAAACACCTAGTTTTACAATTATTATGAGCTTGGATTTATAAAAAAGATAGTTTGTATATTTTTCCTTCCAGGTTTCCGGGGTCAGCTTGAGCTGCAGTTTTCGGCTTGGTCCAAGTGCTCGACGATTACCTGTGTATTGTAGCGTGACATTGTTCTTTGGACAGTAAAAGGTGCAGAGGACAAAAACTGACATTTAAAAAAGTGCACGGGGCATCTCCCCTGTAACACCCCCCCCCAAATGAAGTCCGTGAACCCATCAGTAATAATATCGCAAGGTAAATTCTAAAGAAAAAGCAGAAGTACAGTTCAATACTGAAATTGTCAAATAATGCGAATGCAGAATAAAAGTCTATTTGGACCCTTTTAAGTTTTCCAGAATTACTGAAACCTCGATTTTATTTACACATTCACATTCTGAAGAAATAACCACTCTGATCATCCTCTGGCAGAAGAGATATAGCTAAACCACATCACTTTTCCTCAGCCATCTTCTGTTCTATAGTTAGATGTGATTGGAAGAGCTTCAGAGCATCATCAGAAAGTCAGACGCAGTCCCTCTGAGTCAGATTGCAGGTCATCAGAGTAAGAACATACTGAGATGTAAAGAAGTAAAAGTAGAGCAGGCAGCAGCAGGTCATTAAACTGGGACACATCTCTGCTCTGATACTGCACTGACATTTCTGCCACATTTCGCTAATTTGTTCATTAGCCCGCTAATGTGTTAATCTCAATACATATCTATCATGACATCTTTTTAATCTGTTTGAGTTACAGCTTCACACAATATTGATCAAAATTTAAAAGGTTGATTGACAACCTTAGCAGTCCCAAAAAATATTCCTTCAATGATATTTCTTTATGTCGGATAATAGTTGCAGACAGGATACAGGAAGAAAGCTGAGAAAATCACACTCTGAGACACACATACACACACCTAGTTAGTGTGTGTGCAGCAGCTGTAATTACATACTGTAATCCATATCATTGTGCAGGCTACAATAACACTGATTAAAGATTAAATCTCTCTCTGCACACACACAGAGACTGAATGAGTGTATCCTTTCCTTTCTTTTTGCCCATTATGAGACACTCACTGCCACCAAAAGCTCTTTGGCCTTAACTCAGTGCTTCTCCAGGCCAGTCGGAGTGTTTTTCCCTTGTGGCTATGAGTGTATGCATGCGTGCGTGTGTGACAAAGACCTGGCTAGGCAGCCTATCAGCAGTGAGGTCATACTGTATGACATCACTGTAAACGCACAGACCCATGCTTTAGCTGTGGGCCGTTACCCCCTGATTTCCGCAATCAATACTTTTCACATCTGACACAATGATTTACTACTGATTATTTTTTTCTTTTTTCAGTCATTTTAACCCTCCAGCTGAATGTAATTTCTGTTTAGGTTTAGTTTATTTATAACTATTTCTTTCCAATAAATAACCAATTTCCAGTTTTGGCTAATTCTGCATTGGATGTGTAGCATAGGCATGGGCAATATAGCAGAAATGATTGATCAAGATTTTTCAAATTCTAATTGAATAGAAATATCCAAAGATTAAAATAATAATTTTATACTGAAAATTTCTGAAATGATTTCGATGAGTTAATGCAAAGTTCTCAATTTGTGTAAAGAGGGGTAACCTTTAATAAACACATACTTAACATCTTAACTAGTGTATACTTTTATTTAACAGGTAAATAGAAACTCGTACTCGTACTCATACTCGTCGTCTCCCGCTTTATCCGGAACCGGGTCGCGGGGGCAGCAGACTAAGCAGAGACTCCCAGACTTCCCTCTCCCCAGACACCTCCTTCAGCTCTGTTGGGGGAAGCCTAGGGCTTCCCCCAACAGAGCTGGAATGACAGAGCTGAAACGACCCTCAGTTAAAGTTTACAAACTACATGTCAAAGAGTTGTTCAGACAAATGAGATTGTTCTGTTCAAGTGCCTTGTTGTTTGAGATATTGGCTGAACCCCAAACACTAAAACTAGTCCTAGTCCTCTGTTTGCACGTTCTCTTGGAGGGTCCGCCTCTTGAAGTGTCATGGGTAGGGTGAGTGAACCATTAAGCCCTTAAACAGCGAGTCTGCGTGAGTGCAGCTGTAGGTACCAGATCTGCGGGGGGCCCTGATCTTTCTTATAATGTCAGCATATGTCAACATCAGTCGGACAAACTGTACTGCTTCCGTTTCTTAAGAATCAGAGCTCTTCTAGAGTCCCAACATATTATTACCTATATTTGCTATTATTTTGTATTTCATTGGCGAACTAAAGTAGCCGAAAGTAGAAAACAATCAGTCTCAGACTCGAAATAAAGTACTATGCTCTAAGACAGACTGAGCTCTGATATTTAACAAGGTGACACAAAAACCTGCCTACAGGTTGGAGGTTGACCATCTGGCGACCTGTTGCAGGGAGAACAACATGGAGCTCAGCATTCTAAAAACAGTGGAGATGGTTGTGAACTTCAGGATGAACTCAACCCCATCAGCCTCTGTGATTCCATAGTTGACACTGTGGAGTCTTTCCGCCTCCTGGGAACTATCATCTCACAGGACCTTAAGTGGGAGCTGGACATCAACTCTCTCACCAAGAAAGCCCAGCAGAGGATGTACTTCCTGCAGAGGCTGAAAAAATTCAACCTGTCAAGGACAATAATGGTGCACTTCTACTCCTCCATCATTGAGTCCATCCTCACCTCCTCCATCATCATCTGGTACGCTCGTGCCTCCGCCAAGGACAAGGGCAGATTTCAGCATGTCTTCCACTCTGCAGAGAAGGTGATTGGCTGCAATCTTCCATCTCTTCAGGAGCTGTATGCCTCCAGGACTCTGAGGCTTGCAGTGAAGATTTTGGCTGATCCCTCACACCCCAGAAACAAACTATTTCAGTCACTTCCCTCTTTCAATAGGCTGTGGTCCATCAGGACCACAACCTCATGCCACAAGAACAGTTTCTTCCCATCCGCTACCAGCCTTATCAACAAGGCCCAGGGATCCCAGTGACACTGACACAGCCTCTCTCCCTCAAACCGTTCAGGAGCTACAAGCTACACTAACGGAGCATCTCCAGACATTCTGCGTTACATTAACACACAGTCTACCGTGTATATATTTGGCCCTTGTATATAGCTATATACTATATATTGCATAAACTAGTATATTGTATGTTTTATGTTGTATATAGCTATAGATTCTGTTTTATTTTGAATATATATCTACTTTGTCTGCACCATAAACACCAAGTCAATTTTCTTGTAAGTGCAAACCTACATCGCAATGAACGTGATGCTGATTCTGTTAGGGAGCGGTTTGGGACTCAGCCATGTTTTCACTTGCACTATGTTTGATGGACAGCCCAAAGCCACATTTTTTCTGTATCCTAAAAAACAAATACAGTGCTTCTTTTACTTACAATTAAAACCATTAAAGGTGTTAACTCTACAGCATAACATAATGAATCTTAGGAAAAAAAACAAAAAACAAAAAAATCAGGTAAAAGGGAGTAAGGACATTGATTTGGGTTGCATAGAATGTGCCTCACAAAATAACACTGCCCCACATGATCATTCTGCTTTAGAAAATTGTTGGCATCCTTTAGATTCTGATCTTGTTTACAGCTACACTCTACTGGATTCATGACATACTGGATCTAAAAAGTTCATTGTCATAAATTGTAATGTTAAGTCAAACTTTCCATCCTGTTCTAGCTCACTAAATTGTTTTTATTCCTCTAGATATAAAAACAGTGAGCTATTATTGATCAACAAACTGCTGGTGCTGATAAATGAATCTGATAAAATAATTATTACAACAAATTAATTACTGCAACAGCACCACAGGATGCAACTATGATTAGGACTGAATGTATCTGGTAGTTAGGAATAACAGTGAGGTTATATACAAAATACATAAAATCTCGATTAAAAAATGACAGTTCATTCTTTTTTAGAAAAGTAATTAAAATATATTATGGATTGCCATACAATCTCTCAGTCTAGCATAAAAATCATCATGAACGTGAGTTCTTGAAACATTCACAAAATGCAAATAAACTTTGCAATAATTTGCAATGACAGTTCTTCCTTTTTACTTTTCTCCTGCAAAAATGAAATCTGCCTTAATATGCGAGCACATATTGAGGTCTGGTAGGAAATAAGTAAATGAAAAAAGAAAAAAAATTAAAGGTTATAGACATTTTTGAGAATAGTTGTTAAATGAAATTGCATGTCCACATGACCTCTGTAAGGTCGTTTATATCTAATAAGTGCTCACATGTCACACGAGGAATAAACAACCCCAAGCTGTTGACTATCCAAAGGCACAATTTATGAACACAGTAAATAAAGCTGGATTAAGCATGAGAGGGTAATTCATACTAAGCCTTGGAGGGTAATGGGGTGGGGGACTGTAATGATGGTTTCTCTAAACATTTATTTACTTCAGTGTAACCACTAGGAGGCAGTAGAGACACCACAAACAGGCTTGAGTGCACACACTTATACACTCACAGATTGTCAGTAATGAGAAAAGTGAATTCCCATGATCCTCATGTCCAGCTCAAATAAAAAGCCTCTCTCACATGAGACCAATAATGTTAACAGTAACACAGCTTCTGTCATTTTCTCATTCCACCAGCCCTCTCTGCCTGTTATTTTTATTTCTATTCCTTTTTTTCTTGCCCTTTGTCATAACTTCATGCCCTTTACCAGAAAATCTTAGAGCTTCTGACTGGAGGCTAATGTTTTTAGCTTTTTTATACTGTAAGGAGTCTGCTCACATTTTCCTTCTCTATGAAAGCCTGTGTGTGTTTGAACAAGCATGCATTAATTAGCTCTCCTTGGCTAATAAAGGTCACTTTGTTGTTATGTTCATTCTCTGTTCATAATAAGCTGTGAACTGGACAGATATTAATAGAGATGTATCACAGCTGTGTGTGTTTTTCTCTGTGTGTGTGAGAGATGCAGAGATTGAGCAGGTGTTGATGTGCAGTCTTTGGATGATGTATTCAGTAGTGTATGAATAGACCTCACCGAAGGATTTTCATACTCATAAGGGCCATATGGCGATGACAGCAGGCTCAGAGGAAGGACCTGGATGACAGTTTACTTGGCCCACCTGACTCACATTCTAGACCAGAGCACA